CATGCATGAGTGGATGGATGAATAGAAGAGGGGCAGAGAGCCTGAGTTAGGAGGAGGACAGGAATTATAAGGAAGAAATAAGATGGAACTGTTTTTGAAGAAGTTGCTGATGATTAGAGGGGTAGCAGACATGGAAAGAGAGAGGAAAGACAGTAGTTATCTTCTCTTTTTGTTTATTTTCTCATCTATCCCTCCACTCTCTTTCCAGATGCTCCTATGTAGAAGTCCCTGCCCTGGACCAGCTTTGGCCTAGGGAATAGGAGAGATGAAGGCAGGGTTAAAGGATCCTGTGGGTAAGGAATCCTTGGCAGTTGTGGGTCTGAAGAGGTGAGGAGAGGGAAGTGAATGAAATCCCAAGCAGCAGGAGAGACAAAAGCTGCTTGGCCACCCAGCTTCTTACAGGTCCATATAGTATGCCTCAGCTTCTAATGCAGCCACGCCCCTGTGTGGCTCTGGGACCTTCAGTAAGCTAGGACAAGGTCATCATTTGGGAATGCCTATTTTCCCCACCAACCCAATTCTCTCTTTTCTTTCCACTGAGCTCAAGGATTTCAGTGCCCTGATTGTACTTTTCCTTGCATGTGTTTGTTTAAATTTTTCTTAAATATCTTTCTCATTGCTCAAACCAGAATCTTGATTGAGAGATTCAAACTTGTTTAACCATCCTAAGGAACTATTATTTTTTTCATTTTTTCTTAAAGCAGGCACTTAAAAATGAAATAGGCCAGGCGCGGTGGCTCACGCCTGTAATCCTAGCACTCTGGGAGGCCGAGGCGGGCGGATTGTTTGAGCTCAGGAGTTCGAAACCAGCCTGAGCAAGAGCGAGACCCCGTCTCTACCAAAAATAGAAAGAAATTAATTGGACAGCTAAAAATATATAGGAAAATTTAGCCGGGCATGGTGGCGCATGCCTGTAGTCCCAGCTACTGGGAAGGCTGAGGCAGGAGGATTGCTTGAGCCCAGGAGTTTGAGGTTGCTGTGAGCTAGGCTGACGCCACGGCACTCACTCTAGCCTGGGCAACAAAGCGAGACTCTGTCTCAAAAAAAAAAAAAAAAAGAAATAAAATGTTCCATGCCAAAAGACTTGTAAATTCAGTTCCATGGATCAGGACTACAAGAAGACAATTTTTAAATACTCACAAATCACTTACATATTTTCATTTATAATATTTCACAAAAATCCATCTATAGGATTGATTAACAGGACTTTCATAGTACAGAGTAATCTATTACAATAGTGACTAAAGTCTATTTTTAATATACATTTACATGTAGCCTTTAAATTTCGAATTGTTATTTTTAAAGAGAATGGTAAATTATCAGCAAAAGTAATAATTTTAAAATTATACTATTTAATGTAAGAACTATAGTTATTGCATATATTTTCTGTAGGTGCATTTGAGGACCCTACTGATGTCCCTATAAATGCAGCTGCTCTAAGTGCTGAAAACCTCAGGTAATTATAGTGGTTTTGTTAGGATTCTCTAATGATGTCCACTTCTTTTCCCCCAAGGCACAAAGCTGTCTGTTGCTGACGACTCTTAGGATGGATGTCAGCCACCTTATGTATAGCATGAGAGATTTCTCCCCCGTAGCATAGGGTTTGATGTCAGTAGCTTTTGAACAACATCAATGAGCATAAAGAATGGAAAAATTAGAGCCAAAAATAGAGATCCTGACTGCAGGAATACATACAGAAAAACAAGTTAATATTCTGATGCTAGGCTTCAACATGTCCTTTGACCAAGCCTTCAGAAGATGATTTAAAATGAACCACAAAAGTACATTTTAAATTTATCCTGGGCAGTGTCTATATTCAGACTTCCAAGAAACTGTATCCAGGCATTTTTAATTATTTGTGTCTTCATGCTGGAAGTAAAAGAACTTGAGATTTTACCTTTAATCCCTTTATCCAAGTTGCTGGAACTTACTGAATGGTTTGCATTTCTTCCCCAGAATATTTCTTGTCCCCTTATTCATTCATTCTATAAACTTGTAGTAGGTGCCTACTATGTGCCAGGCACTACTGGGATGGGCTCTGGGAAATCCTAGAGTTAATAAATCTCAAAGACTCTCAGTCTAATGAGAGATATGGTGATACCTAATGAGAGCTATTATATATTAAATAGGTTTCCTTACCAACCATTCACTCTTTTTTTAAATTATTTATTCATTTATTTATTTTGAGACAGGATCCTACACTGTTGCCTGGGCTGGAGTGCAGGGGCATCATCATAGCTCACTATAGCCTCAAACTCCTGGGCTCAAGCAATCCTCCTGTGTCAGTCAGTCTTCCCAGTAGCTGGGACTACAGGTGTGAACCACCATGCCTGAATAATATTTTTATTACTTGTAAAGACGGGGATCTCAATATTACCCAGTCTGGCCTTGAACTCCTGGCCTCAAGCAATCCTCCCTCCTCAGCCTCCTGAGTAGCTGGGTCTACAGATGCACATAACCATGCCTGGCTAATTTTTACTATTTTTCTGTGGAGACGGGGTGTCACTCTTGCTCAGGATGGTTTCAAACTCCTGAGCTCAAGCAGTCCTCCCACCTTGGCCTCTCAGAGTGCTAGGATTACCGGCATGAGCCAACATGCCTGGCTTCATTTTTATTTTTAGTGTTTTTTCTTTCCATACTTCACTTTGGATAGTTCTAATACTATATTTTTAAGTTTACTGATCTTTTCTTGCATAATGACTAATCTGCTTTTAATCATATCCAATGAATTTTTCATTTTAGAAATATTTTTCAGCTCTAGAACTTACTTTTTTCATATTGTCCATTTCTTTTCTCTTTGTGTTCATGATTTCTTTAAATTATAGGGCGTATTTATAATAGCTTTTTAAAATGTCCTGTCTTCTAATTCCATCCTCCATATCATTTCTGGATGTTTTTTTCTTGACTGATTTTTCTTTGGCTTCTTTACATTTCATTGTTCTTGTTTGCTATTCCCCTCCCTGCATTTTGGTCTGAAATCATCTTTTTTTTCTTTTCTCTTAGGGACCACAGGCCTGTGCTGCCTGTTGTCCAAGGTCTGAAAAAGTTGTTTCCCATATTTTGTTTAGTTTTCTATTTGTTTTTTTATGGAGGGTGATTCTGGTCCTTATTACTATATCATGGCTTATTCGATTATTTTAAAATATAATTTTCTTTCTCCATTTTTTTCCCTATTGCTGTGGTCTGAATGTGTCCCCCACCATTCACATATTGAAACTTAATGGCCAGTGTGATAGTATTAAGAGGTGGGGCCTTTAGGAGGTGATGAACTCACAAGAGCAGAGCCTTCATGAATGGATTAGTTCCTTTGCTCCTTTCATCCCTTCTGCCCTGTGAGGACACATTCCCTCTGGAGGATGGAGCAACAAGGGGCCATCTTGGAAGCAGAGAGCAGCCCTCACCAAAAACCAACCCTGCAGGCACCTTGATTTTACACTTCCCAGACTCCAGAACTGTGGGAAATAAATTTCTGTTCTGATAAATTACCCAGTCTCAGATATTTTGTCATAGCAGCACAAATGAACTAAGAGACCTATTCTCTGATTCTGGTACTCTTATTAGTCATATATTGGATCTCCTGAATTAATTCTCTAAGTTTCTTTTTTAATTGCTTATTTTCCATTCTTTTTGTTCTGTCTGGGAGACTTCCTCAATTTTATCATTTAAACTCTATATTGAACACTTAATTTCCCCTATCCTATTTTTAATTTCTAAGTGCTTTCTTATTCACATGTTCCTTTAAAAAAAAAAAAAGCATCTTGCTTTTATTTCAAGGTTATGGAATCCTTTTTTATTTCTTTTAGGAAATTAATTATAGTGGTAATTTAAAGTTTTTTTGTTTTTGTTTTTGCTGCTTCCACATGATTTATTTCTTCTGAATTCTTTCTTTTTGTTTCTGTCTTTCTCTCTTTGATTTTAGAGGCGCTTTTCAGATGTCTGCTCATCCTGAGCTGCTTGTTCATTCATGAAAGTGAATGAGAGCTTTTCATGAGAGGGTAAGACTTGTTCACTGGTTGGTCTCACTGTATGGCAATTGGGCAGGCAGCTGGCATCTTCCCTCTGGAACCCTTAAATGTCAGAATTGGGAGATGTTTTCTCTTGAGCTCGTCAGTTTCCCTAAAGAGGAATCCTCCACCTATTGCCCAAGGATTTAAAGTCACATAGGCAGGGTTTTGGGAGGAGAGCCTAGTTGTGTGTGTGAGAGGGAGGGAAGTATTGACACTCTAATATTTTAGTGTTCAGTCTTTCATAAAATCCCCTTTTTTTCAGCACTATCCTCTGCTGTGGTTTTTGATGCACAGCCTCTCTGATTAAACTTCTTCATAAATTAAACTTGTCCTCTGTAACTTGATGGAGGCATTGGAGTATGAAGGAGAAAACCAGATAAGAGGATAGAATTATGTAAATAAATACATTAAGAAGTACAAATTCATTAGCTAGTTTTAGAACGAATCCAAATAGTTTTTAAAGTGATACATTTTATAGCTATTTCAGAACATCTGTATTTTTTCTTCATAATATATAAATATTTTAAAATTAATTTTTCTTTTTTTCTCTTCTAAATTTTAATAGATTTAGGAGTTACAAGTTGAATTCCATTATATGTATATATTCTATAGTGGTCAAGTCAGGGCTTTTGGTGTACCCATCACCCAAGTAGTGTGCCTGGTACCCTACAGGTAATTTTTCCTCCCTCCCCCCTCAACCCTCCTACTTTTGAGTCTCCAATGTCCATTATACAACGCTGTAAAATTAATTTTTCTTTCTTTCTTTCTTTCCTTTCTTCCGTCCCTCCTTCTCTTCCTTCCTTCCTTTCTTTCTTTTTTTAGACAGGGTCTTGCTCTGTTGACAAGACTAGAGTGCAGTGGCATCATCATAGCTTGCTGCAACCTCAAACTCCTGGGCTCAAGAGATCCTTCTGCCTCAGCCTCCTGAGTAGCTGGGACTACAGGTGTGTGCTACCATGCCTGGCTAATAAAATTAATTTTTCTTTACACTACCTTCACATGCAGAAGCTGGTTGTCAACTGCTATGAGCTGATTGAGATTCTCCAGTACGTCTAAATCTCTAATGTCATCAATATTATTATTGCTGATATTCAATATAGACAGGGACTTCTGTAAGAAAAATTAAATTAGCATTAGTAAATGATCTAAACACTATATATAGGAGCCAGAAATCCTAATGCTTGAAAAGGTTAATATTTATCAGTTCAGGCCCTTTAGGCAAGAAAATCAAAAGCCATGGAGATTTTGTTTTTATTGCATTTGTTTTCAGATTGAACTTTTAGAACTATAGTATGTGACCTAACTTACTCTTTTTCTGTATAATTCCTCCATAAGTCCTATTTTTCTCTTCTAAGATACAAGATAAATTTATAGAATAAAGAAACCAAGAATCAAAAAGCAAAGAAAGAAAAAAGATGCCCCAATAAACAAATAACACAATGTAGAAAAAATGCTTATTGCAGTTTAAGCAAATTATCATTTTGTGCTAAATATCACTAAAATTTGTACTTATGTAGAAAGAGTTTTTGTCTTTGTTTTTCTATATAGGAAACATGACCAAGAATGAAACAATATCTGGTTTTTAATTTTATCTCTGCCTCTCTATATAGTTTTCTCTTGATAATCCATATATTCAGAAACTACTTAAAATAATAATTAGCTGATTAAACTCTGAGGCCCAGGAATCTCTACCAAGATGGAGTCAACCATCACTTCACAGCCTTTGGCTGGTTAAGATCAAGTGCAGTATTTGTTCATAATAGTTTAAAATTAAAAAAAAAAAAAAAAAAAGATGGAGGCAGCCCAGGAGGTATCCACAAGAAGCCAACATTTAAAAAAAAAAAAAAAATTTCTGGGTACTTTTTTTTTTTTTTTTGAGACAGGGCCTGACTTGTGCAGCCTCAAAGCCTCAAACTCCTGGGCTCAAGTGATCCCCCTGCCTCAGCCTCCCAAGTAGCTGGGACTATAGGCATTCACGACCATACCTGGCTAATTTTTTAAATTTTTGTTGTAAGGACAGAGTCTCATGTTGCCCAGGCTAGTCCCAAACTCTTGGCCTCAAGCCATCCTCCTGCCTCAGCCTGGATTACAGGTGTGAGCTACCACGTCTGGCCCCCAGTACTTTTTAAGACTTGAAATAAAACTGAAAAAATGATGTTTTATATTTAGAATTTCAGATTGTGCTTGAATCTATGCAAAAATTGAACCTGCAAAAATGTTTTCAGTAGTGTTTTGTAATAAAACTAGCCATCTCCACAATGGGATCAGTCTAATTGGATCAGTTGAGATTGAGGTAAGGTTGGTGACAGTTGATTCTACTGAGAGCTTAGAGAGGGTAGAGTAGAAACCAGGTCACTTTTTTCTTTTCCAATTTATAGAACTACCTCTGGATTGATATATATATTTGGTTCAAAATTTATCCACTACCCTCCATTTCTGGGCACTCTAAAATAAAACTGATGTAATCTGTGAAAAACAACCATGTCACATTTATATCTTCCTGGCCCAGATTTGAGGTTAGCCTGTCCCAACAAGTCCCTTGGTCTTAGGGTTAGCAAGAGCCTCACTGACGCCCTCTGGCTTCTCAACTTATTGTGGCACTTCCATCCCGTAGGACTGGTTGTCAGGCACAGCTGGAGTCCCAAATCCGGTGCTCCCAGGCCTACATAGTTTGATGGGGCCATAGGTAGTGCAACCTGCAATCAAATCAGGATCCAGGGAGAAAATGACGTATCATTGCACTGGCTCTCTAGTTTGTTTGAAAGTTGCCAAATAATTCTGCACTCCTCTTTCCTCAGGGTTTTTCCTAAAATTTAAAATTTTGAGCCGTGATAATCACCAAGGTCTGAATTATGAATGAATTAACATCTGTATTAGAACTTCAGTTTATGTAACCATTTCACATCCTTCTTTTGATCTTTCCAGTTACCTGAAGAGGCAGGCATTATATTATCCTAACTTTATAGATGCTGAGTTTCTGAGACATTATGTGGGGAAAACCAGCTTTAGTATTCAAATAAGCTAGCATTTGGCCATATAAACATGCAGAGTATGTACAATGTCCAAATATACCTTCACCACCTTCTTGTTCCATTGTGACTTGATAATCACTATGTTCCTTGTCGAAATAGTCAAATGTGGACTTACTGCCAGAGAATGAAGAGTTCTTGGATCAAACAGAAGCTTTTCTCCAAGGGGAAGCCTCTGACTCTCAACATGAAGCTCTCTTAGTTCTTTTAACCCTTCTAAACCTTCTATGACAGCAATGTAATTGCCTCCCAGATACCTGCAAAAACAGACATAATTCTAAATATGCATTCTGAGACACCATGGTCTTAAAATGTGATAAAAGCAAAACAAAATCATTGAGCTGTGTGAGAAGTATATATGCAGAATGTTATGTTTATGTTGAATATATGAAAGGTTTATCTAAATGACAACAAATTATATTCTTACACTCAATGTAGTCTAAAACATACATTTTTAAATTTTTTAAAGAATGAGAGAATTTTTTTTCCCCGCACTGCAAAGCAGCAGGAAAAAAATGAGAGAATTGAAATAGTTATTATTAAACTATCTACAGGGCTTCTCACATGTTCTGGTGCAGAAGAATCACCTGGGTTATAGGTTTAAAAATGAAGATTTCTGGGCCTAACTCCCAGAGATTCTGATTTGGATTCTAGGTTGGAACCCAGTATTCCACATTTTTAAAAGCATTCCTCACCCCACTCTTGTGTCCCTGTTCTGAGGCCCTTGGTTCACTCTTTCAGAAGCATGACAGTTATTCTCGTCTGGGGAAATTGGATCCAGCAGTCTTAATTGCCTAATTATAATCATTATAGGCATTAAATGTCTTTTTACAATCAAGTGTACATCAGCATTATCAATTATGTGACCTTGACCTTTTTAGATGTGTGATTCTGAAAGGCACAGAACTTATCTGGGTTCCATGGAAACTTTTTTCACCAGTTGAGCCTACATGAGGGAGGATGTTTTAGTTGTCCTTATAAGCCCTTAAGACAACCCAGCCCCCCAAAAAGAAAAGTTTATCGGGCTTAATAAAACACAAATTGTTGAATATTACATATGAAACAACTTATTTGGTATTAATAAAAGTACAAGAGAATAGAAACCAAGGCCTGTTTCATAAAACACATGTGAGATGCAGACTCAATTTCATATTCAATTTACTTTTGAAACTTAATGCAGAAAATGGAAATGCCTGCATGCATAAAATATAACTACTGTAACGATGATGAACAGTTACATTACTCAAAAACAAAAGCACTTACAGTTTTTCCAGTTTCTTTAATGACCTTAGGTTCTCTATATATGAAATACAATTGTTTTGTAGGTATAGGTGCGTCAGATTTGTGGCATAATTCAGGTTAATGATTTGACTAATACGGTTATCATATAAATATAGAACACTAAGATTTTTGCAAAGAGAGAGGTCTTCCTAAAAGGAAAACAAAAACAGTCAAGTTTAATTTCTCCTTCAAACTTAGAAGTTTCTTTTTGAAAAAGTTTTTCATTTGATAATTTTTCGAATTTCCTTAAGATTATTATAAAAGGACAGTCTTTCTCTTTCGTAGGACAGTCAAAACAAGATTAGAATGATTACAAAATAAATTCTAGGCTTTAGTATTCTGTAATTACATAAACAAAATTGTATTTGTTAAGAAGCTTTTCCCAGTGCAAGCAATTTTCCTTGGAAGCAATTAGGCTACTCTGGAAGTTGAAGCACTGAACAAATAATTGTCCCAACATATACATCAGGGCTTACTATTTCTGTAGGATTGGAAGTAAACCATTCTGGTTTATAATACTGAAAATTGGAAGTCATCTAGATATCCAAGAATAATGGATTAATTAAAAAACTATGATAAGGCTGTTGAAGGGAATACTGTAGAACTATTAAATATCATTTAGTTTCTTTAGTAATATCTTATAGATTTCATAATATGTAATTAAGTGAAGACAGTACATTCAATATGACTGTTATAAAATTATATAAATACATGTCTAAAAAAAAGACATTACCTAAATGTTAAAAGTGGTTATCTGTGAAGAGTAGGATTACATTCTTTCTTTTTATATGTATTTTATACAAATGAACACCAATTACTTTTGAGATAAGAAATTAATTAAAGGTACTTTTAAAAGGTACCTTTTAAAAGGTACCTTCATTTCTTGTGTTGTGGTAGAGTCAGCCTAGAGTAAATAGACAAGAAGTAAAATGAAGTTCTGCTCAAAAATATCTCAGCCTTCATTAAGATCCTTTAAAATACAGCCACATTTTGGAAACTTTAAGTTTACAAGTTATTCTCACTTTATTGTGAATTTAACAAGTTTGCTTTCCTCCTAACAAAGATCATCCACACTGGAGGAATGACTGATGTTAGGACAAAAGAGCTTGAAGTGGGGGCTCACTGGGGCCTCTCCCCAGAAAGCAGTATGTATATGGTCTGATGAGGTAGAGCTCTGGGCAACAAAAGAGACACATGATGTTTGAGCAGTTGGATTCATGGAAAGAAGGAACACCAGGAAACCAGAAAGGGATATATAATGGGAACTGGGCTGGGTCCATACAAAAAAAAAAAAGACAAAACAAGCATTTCTCAATTGATCATTTTGCTTGAGGCTTTTTTTTTTTTTTTCCTTTCATTCATTCACTCAGTAAATATTTCTTAAGCACTTAATACAAGTCAGGTATTGTATTGGACTGCGAATTTAGAGTGATATGAACAAAATAGACATGATCCCTGCCCTAACGTGGCTCATATGTTTCCAAGAAATTTTCTCTCATCTGTATTCTTTAGCATTTATTGTAGACAACAGATACCAATACAAATGGCCTAAAAGGGTTATTGCGGCCTTTAAAGTTTCCCAAATTACAGCCAAGAATTACCTCAGCACTGAGAAAATGTATTTTCAGAGTATAACCAAGTAAACATTATCTTATCTGCTATAACTGATCCAGTATAATATACATTTATAAAAACAGTTAAGTATGTACAAAAAAGATTTCACTGTTAAACCTTCGAAATGTGGTACTCACATAATTACTTCTTAATACTCTGATATATAAAATATATATATATTCCAATGTTTTGGAATAATGTAAAAATAATTATCTTTGAAATTATTTTCCAACATATGCTTTCAAATCTAGTATGCTACACTATTATAGAGTATTGTAGGGGAACAGTAACATATATATTTAACATATATATTTAAAAATCACAATGGTATGTCTTATGGAGACTTAATTTTAATAAGTTGAATATCACAAATGGGAAATTAAAATAAAAACACAATATAAAACTTATTGATAAAAATATAGTTAATAAGAATAATCAAAATATATTAATAGTTAATCTATTAGGTATGCACTCCAGCCAGTTTCTAAACTTTACATTGTTATGCCCTCAAGCCAATTTCTAAACTTTACATTGTTAATTATATAAAAATAAGAAATAATCCCAAAGTTCTTACAATTGCATCTATATTTTTGTCTGAAAAATTTATATGAGTTATCTTCTTCAGGCACTGTGAAATGGTTTCTTCTTTTCGGAGTTTAAGATTACTGTTTCTGGCAATTAGATCCAAGGTCAGTCGAACCATGACTTCTCTATATATCAAACTCTCAACAATAGCTCCGTTTTGATACCATGTCAAGAAGGTTTAGGTATTATTTATTTCCAACTTTCTAAAAATTAAAAAAAAAGTATTACAATATCACATAGCAATTTAGGAAAAGTTATTTTGACTTTTTGACTTATTTCCTTATATAAAGCTATTTGATAAGCTAGTTTATAGACATTTTTAGGGGCATTGAGGTATTTTCTAAATTTACAGATTTAGCTCTTTTTATAAAAAAGATTTAAAGTACCGAAATTAATTAAATGCACAATACTCATTTAATTTTAAATCTTTTCTTCTTCCTGAGTAGTATTGAATTGCTCTTGCAAGCACCTTTTTTAAGAGACAAGGTCTTGCTATGTTGCCCAGATTGGAGTGCAGTAGCTCTTCGTAGGCGTGATCACAATGCATTACAGCCTGGAACTTCTGGCCTTAAACTATAATCCTGCCTTAGCCTCACCAGTAGCTGGGACTACAGGTTCACGCCACTACACCAGCTTTTGGCCATCTTTTAAAGAATTATTATTCTCCTGGAGTCAAAAAGGCCTCCAAGGAATATCACCCAATGTTCTCATTTCACAGGTGAAGAAACTAAGTAGCAGAGATTTATCTCAAGTTACTCAAGCTGGTGGCAGTTGAGAATGGGACCAAGTCTCCTGGCTACTTTTTCCGTAGTACCCACAGTGACCATATGTCTGAAACCCCCAAATCAGAACACATGGTGTGAAAACCTTGAGGATATACATAGGACAATGGTGCAAAATGCTTGAAAATGAAGCTGGCCTAGAAATTTTGTTTTGTTTTGTTTTGTTGCTACAACCATAATCCACAAAGAGGCAGCATAATGCAGTGTTTTTTAATCCAGATTGCCTGGTTCGTATTTTGGCTTCACTACTCACTCACTAGTTGGGCAATCTTGGGCAGGTTACCCCAATTTCTTATAAAATAAGGATAATAAGGGTACCTATTTCCAAAGGATACTGTGAGGATTTATGAGATAATCATTATAGAGTGTTCTGCACAGTGCCTGGTACATAGGTCAATAAATGTTGGCTATTATTATTATTATTCTATTACTGTTTATCTCAATTTTATGATATTCTGGACATGAAATCAGTTTCTTCCTATTAGCTTAGGAGGAAAAGTGAATTCAGTAGACAATAAATTAAATTTGTGTCCTCACACATTGTCATATTATTACCCAGGTTATGTTGTTATAAATTGCCTACAATACAATATTTGAAGACATGGAATGTATCCTTAAGACTTCTCACAATGCAAAATACAGAATAAAATTATATGATTATCACAGATTTTTGAAATTTGCATATATTTGTGGTTACTCTTATAACAAATTTTAAGTTTATTGTTTACTTTTCAGATCCAATTTCAAATATGAAAGAACAGTAATATCAACACTTCTAATTAAGTAAAAATAACTTTTAATATTGCCTTAAAATATTTCATAAATTAACTTCATGATAAAAGTACAAAGAATAATATAACACCCATGCACCCACAGGTCAGCTTAAAATGTAAAACATTACAAATACATTTGAAACCCTTCTAAACCTTTCTCCTGCTGCATTCCCTTAAATTTAGCATTTATTTTAAACTTAGACATCTTCCTGTCTTTATACTTTCACAACATATGTGTGTATACCTAAAAACGTATATTATGGGTTTTCACAACTTTACATGTCATCAGTGGTATGAATGATATTATTCTGTCTCTAGTTTTCTTTTCCGCTTAATGTTTTGTTTGTGAGAGTCATCTGGGTTGATATGTGTAGCTCTAGAGTATTTGCTATATAATATTCTATTGTTAGAAATTTATTTCTCCTGATAATTGATTTTTAGGTGTTTCCAATGTTTTTGCTTTTACAACGTTGCTTTTACAATTTTGTATATGTCATTTAGCACATGTACAAGAGCTTCTTTAAAGTTTAAAACTAGGAGTGGCCACTTCTGGGTTGGACATTTCAACTTTACTATATATTGCCAAATTGTTCTCCAAAGGAGTTTTACCACTGGTGGATAAAGAATTCTCATTACTCTACAATGCAGTCTACACCATCATCAGCACTTGATATCAGCAGTCTTTAACTTTTTGCCAAGCTGGTGGACGTAAAATAATATCTCATTGTGTTTCAATTTGCCATTCTCTACTTACTAGAGAGATTGAGAATTTGTTCCTATTGATTGGCCATGTGAAGTTCCTCTTCTGTTAATTGGTATTTGTTATCTTTTGTGCATTTGTCCTATTGGGCTCTGTTTTTATAAGTAATTTTTAGAACATACACATTTCTATTAGATACTAATACTTCATTGATTATATGTGTTGCAAATATCTTTTGCCAGACTGTAGCTGGTGTTTTCTCCTTATTTTCCACTTGTTAGTTTTTAATGATGTCTTCCCCAAAAACAGAAGCTTTATTTTTCTAATGTAGTCAAATGTATCACTTTTTTTTTTTGCTTGTGTTTTCTGTGACTTATTTAGTAACTCCTTCCCTACCCTAATTTCAGAAAAACAGTCTATATTTTCTTCTAAATATGTTAGAAAGTTTTGCTTGACACATATTGGTCTTTAATCTATCTAGAATTGATTACTGTGTAGGAAGTGAGATGGAGATTCAATATTATTTTTTTTCCTTCTGAAGACCAATTATCCTAGCACTATATGCATGGTTCTTTTCTCTTCCATTCATTTATTTATCTATCCCCATGTCAACATTGTCTTAATTAGTATAGATTAATATTTCTCCACCTTGGTTATTCTTTGTCCTTAACCCTTTCATATACATTTTAACAGCAATTTGTCATGTTCCATGAAAATTCTTTCACGATTTTGTTAGGATTGCATTGAATTTATAAGCATTTTGTGAAACACTGACATTTCTCTAATATTAAGTCTTCTTTTCCATTAGTATGGTATGTCTCTCCATTTGAGGAGTGCTTCTTTAGTGACTTTCAATAGTTTTATAATTTTTTATTATGTTGGGTTTTTTGTTTGAGAATTGCTTTATTTTTTTTTATTTATTATTTCAGTAGATTTAGGGGGTGCAAGTAGTTTTTTGTTAAATGAATAAATTGTATAGTGGTGAAGTCAGCTTTTAGTGTACCCATCACCCAAATAGTGTACATTGTATCTGCTGGGTAGTTTTTGATCCCCCACCGCCTTCCCACTTTCCCCCCTTCTAAGTCTCGAAAGTCCATTATACCACTCTGTATGACCATGTATACCCATCATTTAGCTTCCACTTGTGAGTATAAGCAGTATTTGTTTTTCCATTCCAGAGATACTTCACTTAGGATAATGGCTCCAGTTCCATCCAAGTTGCTGCAAAAGACATTACTTCATTCTTCTTTATAATTTTCTTTTATAATTAAAGCGATGCATAAGTTTTTTTAGAGTCATTCTTGAGGAATCATATATTTTTGTTGATATTGCAAATGTCACTGTTTTAGAAATTACAGTTTTTGTTTGTAGCTGGTGTATAGAAATGCAATATTGTAAAAATATTGATCTCATATCCAGCAACACTGCTAAGGGCACATTAATTCCAATAATTTATAGAGTCTTTTGGGTTTTCCATGCAAACAATCAGATCATATATAAATGACAGTTTATTACTTTCCTATTCTTGTATCTTTTTCTTTTTCCTTTTTTATTGTGTTACTGCCATGGCTAGGACATCTAGGAACAATGTTGAATAGAAGTGATGAGAGCATATACACTTGTTATTGATGATCTCAAAGGAAATACTTGCAACATTTCACTTCTAAGTAGGATATTTGCTGTGAGGTTTTTTTTTTTTTTAAAAAAAACAGCATTCTCAGTTTAAGAAAATTCTTTGCTATTCGTAGTTTGTAAAAATTTTTTTTAAAATCATGAATGGAT